TTTATCCCATCTACTCACAGCTATAGAAATATACATGAATGGTACTTTAACAAAATTTCTGAAAGCCACATAAATGAGAAACTTTTTTCCTTTGTTTACCTGATTAAGATCTAAAGGGAATCTAGAAATAAAGATTTTAGGCTAAATCTTTATACAATATACTAAAATATTAATTGTAAATAAATTGAGAAATATCTGATTGTCCAGGAAAGATTAGAAAGGTTACTTTTGGTATTTCATAAAACATAATTTTTCTGTATATAAAACTCACCTTTAGTTTTCTTATTATAAATCTTCGATACGATTCAAGAGCGAGACCAAACCTGGCGTGATTGAACTAATACATAATACCCAAACACTGGTGAACACAAAACACAAATATATACAGAAGGTACCAGTACACAGGTACAACCCAAAACAATGAGAGACCGTAAACAGTAAATAGGACCATTGTGACGGAGACAAAGCATGAGATATGCAACAGTGATAACAGATACTCACCTGGCAGGTAAAAAACTATACAGCACACCTTACCGTGTCTACATCCTACTAGTTACTTAAGGTCTATAACCGGTTGTTTCAAATCAATAAGTAAACCAGGCCCAGTAACTGCTACAGGCTACATAAATACCTCATATATTGGATTTTCTACCATACCACAATTGTTTGCATATCTCATAATGATTCAAATGGTGTACACAAGCCATTTATGAAATTATCATTTCCAGTGACACAAAAAAAGGGTTTCTTGTGGTGAACTTGTATAAGCTAATGACTTCTGTAGTGTTTTTTTTTCAGTTATGGAATGACCCCTGTGTCTCCAATAACCACCTCTTAAGTACAACCAATTTCAATTATTGATATTTATTGCATTTAAAATGGTGTTCTTTTGTGAAACCAAATCTCATAGAATCAGGTATAATGATATAAAATGTCTTAGTAAATTAATTTCTGTGTCACAGGTAAAATTTTGGCGAATGTTTAAAATATTACATTACTTATTTATGATATTCTACAACCACAAGAAAAAGTATATACAACACACAAACAATTAATCTATTGTCCAAATTGTTTAGAAGAGGTCATTTTGAAATACAATTATTGTACTTTCGGAAAACTGAGTAAACCTTTTATAGAACTTAATCCCCTTTAAATTGAATTAAATTCAGTCTTTATCTTTAAATATCCATCATCTATAACTGCTTGTCCAAGCACATCAGATCAAATTGTAAATTCTAAAATGGATTTTAGTTGAATGGGCTATTGGAACATTTACTGTATTTACACAAAAATAAGCCTGGGGCTGATTATTAATGTTAATATGCAAATTCTACCACAAAGTCTTAGAACTGGCTTATATTGCATGACAATAGTATAAATAGCATTTGTAATTTGAATGAACAGTCACAGATATGATGGGCTTATTACCAGACACTGCTGACTAAACATGTGAACATGTGGATCACAGTCAACATTGCTACCTGTATCATAGATTTAGACTAAATCTCTATTTTAATTACATCTTTATTCTACAGTGCGATAGCTGTAAGTGGAAGCATTGGTTTTCTAAGGATTTACTGTTGTATCTGATTAGTATGTATAAGTTACACAAATCGAGGAAATTTAAGAACTTAATCACTTACTACTCTGAAAATAATGCACAGAAACTCCTAACCAAATTATTCTTATGTATTAATTGATATTTTCCCTTTATTCTTAATTGAGTAGGTAGCAGGAAATTGCAGATCATTTCAATTTCATATTGTATCCTGTATATTTAGATTCTTTAAAGTACCCATTCAAAACTTCTGAAGAAAAATACTATACATGTAATTAGTAGACATACAAGGGTAAGTTGTATATGTAGGTATATGAAAACAGGAATACAGATATATCTACTTTAGGTCCAATCAATCCAGGGACGGTAGGATATACATTGGATTATCTTACTGGTGTAGACAATGTACAACAGATTACCAAACTGATTCTATCAACATCTGATTAAAACGAGATCTAGATTAATCATGCACTGATTGGCTTGTCACTTTCAAAAATACATTTCAATAATTAACAAAACAGGTATTCCTACATGTAGACAATTTCATTTCTTCTTTGGAATATCTACATATATATACATCAGTAGTGTAAACTATAGCATGCCTCAACAATATCAGAACCACTTTTTAATAATATAACAGTGCTGGAAGATTTTCGTGTGTAAACACATATGGCCTATTAATGTAATATTGGTTATGAGAAATCAATAGTTGTTCCAGAGGAAAATTTATACATTAAAAGTTACAATGCAATATGTCGTTGAAGACATGGGTAGAGTGAATTGTGCAATATATTTAAAAATTTGTAAAAGCTTTCAGTAAACTTAACCATGTCAAAATTAAAGTTCAATTGAAAAAAATTATAAAGGAAGAATTCAAATTAATTTCAACATATATTGCATAATTCTGTTAGGCTTTTAGGGTAAACGATATCATTAATATCGCCTTGTTGGCTTAAGATGTGTCAGGTACGGTTAGCTTTAAAGCTTTTTAAAATTAGGTTTCTACAATATTGTTTGACTTGAATACTTTACAAGTAGCACCAAAATTTCATGGTTTTAAGATTCTTATACTAAACCTGTCCTCATATTAATATGAAAATACTTAAATAATATCAACATCTTGCTAAATCTATTGATTTTTACATCAATATATTGATTGACCTCATTAGCCCTCAACGTCACTGACAGGTCACTGCAGAATGAACCAGTATATACAACATTCATTCATATAATCACACAGGCAATTGTTAAAACAGATTAAATTTTTAAAGTAGAGAATTTACAACTATGTGTCATAAAAATACAGTGAGAATATAACACAAATTATAAAAATTGCATTATCAAAACAAAATCATTTCTGTGATACCCAAGTCTGATGGAATTGTATCTAATCCAGATGACTCTCAACATATTTCATTCTCGTGGATTATAAACCGGGGAAATTTACTGTAATAAGTAAGGACAAATTCCATTCAAACTGATTGCATTTGTTTAGTGAAAAATCAATTGAATAGTATTGAACAGTCTTTGAGTGCAGGAAGTCAGGGAAGACGTGACTACAAACATTGCTATGACCCAGACTTCAAATTACGGAGAAATGTTAATGGATAGCACTAATTCACGGAATCATATGAGCAGTTACGTCCCTTGATCTTGCCTTTAAGTATATGTGTGTAGAGTATATGTGCCACTGGATGGAAAACATAATGCCTATATTGCAACAGTTTTTGCTCTCAAAGCAGGTTATGGTGATTATTAACAGTATGGACCATTATTAAAACAAATATGGTATGATGCAGTTTTAGTTGTTGTCTTTATTTTATCTAATTATAAATTTGTACTCAAGATACTGATCAATTGTGTGTCTTCTGTAAAATTACCAAAGGAAACTTTGGACATTGTTGATAACAGCATTGAGAATTGTTACATGATTTGTTGCATCACACCATGCTCATACTATCGATCCTGTGATTAATTCAACACAACATTTTCATACAAGAAAATGCTAAAACTACCATGGTTTCAGCATACATAGTCTAGACCTACTCACATAACAAACACTATAATGTTCTCACATAACAAACAGAATTTACTTTAACATAAAGCCAATAGGAGTAAGTCCGACACATGAGGTATTTTCTTTTTATCCTAATTTAATGACAGTGTTGTTTACATGTTTTGACTCAAAGGTGGACCACCATCATTCAGTTTCTATAAGTTATTGCTACTCCTTGTATGAAAATAGTTTAGTGAATTATAAAATTTAAATACTTAATTTACTAGAGTTAAATAAATTAATTACATTCTGTTTTGTTTACCTGTGTATCCTTCTCTTAGAATTTACTAGACTTTATGACTTGCTGGCACAATGCCCAAATCTGATTGATAAAAAGCTTTTGTTTAGATGCCTTTTGAGAAATCTGTTTTTGTTACTTCAAAATACACATCTTTTGTAAACACATGCCATGTTTCAGAAAATTTTAAGTGTTAACTGCAAAAAGGTATCTATTTTTAGTTGAGATATCACAGTGAAAGTAGTATTAAAAACTTAAAGTTTAACAAATATAATTTATGTATAAAATATGAAAATTAAAAAAATTATCATAATAGGACAGTGTACTGAGTAAATGATATGGAATGTAATACAGCTAGCTGTGTTAAGTAGATTGGGAAAGATGAAGAAAACTAGCAAACCAGTGTATATACCAGTCTAGTGAGAGTGTCAGAGACGTATATGAGAGTGTATATCAAAACATTGTGAGCTCTCTGTGAGAAGAGATTCTGCAACATAGGAGTATATAAAAAATATAGATACATAAAAGGCGGTCTGTCTCTTATATGTCGCAGATGACAACATAATGACATCAGATGAATAGCTAGTCTGCAAAGACGGTCCAATATTAATCAAAATGTAAAATGAGAAAACGCGTTATAACGGGAGTTTAACTATCCAGCAACTGAAGGCAATATTTGTATATGATAGGCTGTCCCTAGTGGTCAGGCTTCACATCACACACTGAACAGGTGAAGCCAGAAAGTTTATAAACAAAGTTTGCAGAGATTATTTGGCTCTTGCTAATCGAAAAAAGTCGTATTTGACTTCAACACAACTTAACACTTACCATAAGACAAACGATCCGGTGAATTTAACGTCGTGACAATCAATGTTTAGTTAGTTGAACTGTCCCAGTGACACAAGTCAATGGCAGGTGCCCGTTTCTTCGGAAGCTAAATTATTCAGTCCGTAGCTAATGTGCAAATTATTTTATAACCAAGCCTTACGTTTAATTCAAAGATGATGTTTTGGAGAGAGCTTAATTATAATAAAAATATAAGAAGAACAAACGCGTACATAAAATAAATTCATCATTTATGAAAATAAAGACTTAACTGCGGAACAATATCTAATCCTGCCCATGCGCGTGGAGCCGGCAGACAGACGATAACTTCCTGTCGAAAAGCAGCAAGTTTTAAGAAGTGAAGACCATTAAAAGTGTGGAAAATGCCAACATACAAAGGTTATTTCGTCGGGTTTAATTTAAAACATTGTAACATATATACACGAAATCGCTCGAAATAATAACACAATACATTTGAATATACTGACTAAATTAAATGTACAAAATGCATTGTCATGTGCCGGTTATACACTGTCACGCTTAGAAGTCAGTAGTTTTGTTCGTTTCCATAACTTTAATAACTGACCGTTTTTAAGTCAGTGTGTATGTGGTGATGTTTAAGGTTAGTTTATAAGTGTTTGTCACATGAATGCTGGTCTGGATTTCCCCGTCTATGTGCTAAAACCATTTTTATCTGTATATTGGTAGCAGTGCTAAATGTAGTATGCTGTATTTGTTGTATATTGGTTTACTCGCTCCGTTCTTAGCCTCTGTAATACAAAGTTTGATCTCATTTTATATTATAGCAAACTATATTTGAAGATGTTTAAATTATTTACAACATGTAGAGTGAAATACTATAATATTTTAAAGTAGAAAAGACTTAGCTTTGTAGGATAACCTGAGAGTTTCTTTTACCCCTGTAAAAGATTGTAACTTTTGGCCTTTTACTACTGATTGTGTTGGGGAGTAACTATCTTAAGTTTAATTTGCAGAGTTTTGATCAACTGAACCATCTGTCACAGTTCTATATAAAGCTATAGTAAAAAAAAGCAAGGAAACTGGTTATACATTGACAGTGATGTTGAGAATTGAGAATATTACAAATATTTAGCAGTGCTCTAAAGTATGCATGTTACCCCTGGGAAACTCAAAGACAAGTTCTTTCCAAGAGAGATGGATATGATTATGATGAGCATTAGTTGTGTAAACTTTGGGTCTCGGGCTATACATAGGTAAATGTATGGAAACACATGTTCAGTAGAGTAATTTCCTTAAGATTCCAACACCAAACATAAAATGAAATAGCGAAATACATGTAATTGTCCTCATGAGATAGTTTCCTTTATTAAACATTTCTTTTGAATTGCAACGTTTCTATACTTTCAGTTAATGTCAAGTGGGGAAAGGAGAAGTTCAGTGATGTGGACTGTAACACAGATGAGCCTCCCATTGTTCTCAAGGCACAACTATTTGCTCTGTCTGGTGTCCAGCCAGAGAGACAGAAGGTTATGATGAAGGGAGCTGTACTGAAGGCAAGATCACTAAGTTTTTACTTAGTTATAGAATTTTGAAATCATTTTATTTGAAATAAAGAGAAAACAATATTGAAGAACCAACACACTGTCTAAGATTGCAGCTAGGTTCCTGAATAATACCTGAGGTATTCTGTAGAGCTCCTTATAATGTGGTCAACATAATGAATTAGTCTATAAATAAAACTACAGCAAGTGTTCCTGGATGTTGAGAAGCCTTTATCTTCTCATTATTTATTTTAAATACTAACATTTCCTGATCTGTATCGTGATTCAGCCATTTATTTTGATACTTGATTGATTGAATAACTCCTTTCATTGTTTTTTGTATTAAATTTTTTTTCACTTTTTACCTTTTTTATCTGAACAGGATGATGAATGGGGAAAAGTGAAACTGAAGGATGTAAGTATAGCTTATAAATATATACCAAATTTTGATGATGTAACTAAATGTGTAGTCTACAGAATATTGGTAACTTTACTTTAAGGTTCTTTTAGTAACCATTGTTTTCCATAGTTCGTGCTATACAACAAAGTTCAATTCAAATATATTCTGCGATACATTGTAAACAGTGTGATGTTTTAAACTTTTAAAATTTTACACAATAATTTATTAACTGACTTCATTAGTTAATTCAATTCAGTTGTAGTTATGCCTGATAACCTAAATAAAAAAGAAATTTTCAGTTTATCCTTACTGCCCAGTTTTGTGTCATCCATTTTGAAACTTTCCCTGTACAAAAAATAACACCAACATTTAACTCACTGGCATAAAAAAAACTATCATCTAAAACAGTCTGTCCTATCATCCTGTCTGAAACCGTTCAACGAAACAATAAACTTAAAACACATATACAAATACAAATATGTACTTCACATATTCATATACCCATAGCTAATTAAAACCTCTATTGTTTAGAGGTATGTGTAAGAATAAAATCTCCATATTTTCAAAGTTTACTTAACTGGTGAAAGGTCATGTTGACAGCTTCAGCAAATTCATCAAACAAGGATACTTAAGTGACTAGAGAGGGAGCATTCATGTACCTAGTCGGACAATCAGATTTTGTGGTCATTGATAAAAATTTGTCAATGGTCAATCTGTCCCACAGGTTAATGTTACACTATTGATGTCCCATCTAGTTCATCAGATTCAGATTAAAGTCTAGACTTCTGTAGCTGATTTGATTGTAATAGATATAGCTTACATTCCCAGTATATACATGGACTATGTTCACATCGGGTATCGACACCTGAAGGGACCATTTGTACAATAGCTTTGTTAGTAGAACACTGGCACACATGACTTCAGATGAAGATATGAGGTGCAGTCCCCACTGTGTTCCAAGACTGAAGCTGGGAAAAGACTAGTCTGTGCTGTTATAGTTGTGTCCTTTGGCAAGATACTGTACCGTAATTGGTCTAGAGGCATGCAAGAGGCCCGCTGTATCTTGTTCAGGGAAGTAGCATCTGCTTCTATAAGGAGACCACATCTCAAACAGACTCTGACTGTTCAAGGGAGATAGTAAACCCAGGAAATAAACAAATCTATGTATCATTACATTTTGAAAGTCAGTAGCCAAGGCTAAAATTTAAAAGTGTGCCCTCAACAATTTTCTGATGAAAAGGACTGGGAGAATTTTTATGTGAGTTTGGGACTTAAAAATGACAGGATTTTTTGTTTATGATTAGGGTGCAACACTACTGATGATGGGAACAGCCGACGAACTGCCCCAAGAGCCAGTGGAGAAGACTGTGTTTATGGAAGATATGAGTGAAGAGCAGCTGGCTACAGCAGTAAGTTTTTTCTAAGTCTGTGATAGCGATAACATCTGTATGTAGCGACAGTCTGTGATAGTGGTAACATGTCTGTATCTCATGTAACATCAGTCTAGAATAGTGATAACATCTCTGTGTCTATCTATGTAACAACAGCATGTGACAGTCTGTGCCACACATCTAGTTTCGTTATCCTTTACCAATGATAATATTATTTTCACAGCTGGAGATTCCCAGTGGTTTGACCAATCTAGGAAACACCTGCTATATGAATGCTACAATCCAGTGTCTTAGATCTATTCCAGAACTCACAGATGCCCTGAAAAAGTACGGAAAAATTACTTCCTGTTTTGTTGAAAGAAATTTTTTTCATGATACCATAAGTTGAAACATTTTTATGCTCAAACATTCATTTAATCAAAGCAATAAAACACAGCAGTTAATGTACTCTTGATTTGATTCACCTACGAATCAGAATTTGCATAATATAAAGAAACCCTGTAGACTTTGTTGATGTGATCTTATGTATAATGGTAATAGTCCTGTCAATATTACGACATTTAATTACAGGTATAAAGGGGACATAACCATGGGTGGAGTCATTTCTCCTGCCGATTCCATTACAGCAGGTAAAAGGCCGTAATTATTCACATTGATATAACTGTTAAAATTTAAACCTATAGTTGAACCTACCTATTATACGATGTTTGGAACTTAAATGATGAAATATTGGGACTCAAACTCAGTGTATTTGACTTCGAGAGATTCAGTTTTCGACGAAAATCAGAAGTAGATAGTTTTCCAGGAAAGTTTTATTTGCTGTACAAAGACATGTTACTGAACTCCTGTTTGTTGTAGCCATGAGGGATCTTTGTGTCTCAGTGGAGAAATCAGGATCAGCCATTCCACCAATCATCTTCCTTCAAGTATTACACATGGCGTACCCTCAGTTTGCTGAAAAATCAGAACATGGAGGCTATGCTCAACAGGTCTGTACTAGTAGTTCTTTTTATCAACAAGTGGTTTTTAATGTTAATCTTCACTAGTTATTGTAGTGACAAGTCCCTCATCAGTACTCCGGATGGGGATTTAATTGACCTCAGTTCTCTCACCATTCCATCAGTCTGTTGGTCTCCATGTAGAGGCATATCTTATACATATTTACATAAATCCATTTATACCTTCCTAGTCTTAACTTAAATTTTACCCATTATTTACTTTGTGTAATTTTTTCTGAAGCTTATGAGTTGTTGCCACTGTTTAATTTGTAAAATAGATTACAAGTACTAGGGCTGGGAGGGTAAAGGCCCTGATTTATCACACTTGGGTATGTTTGGGGCAGGGAATTTGGCACTTAGTATGCATACTGTCTTAAATTTTAAAGCTGTCATACCTTCAAAAGTATGTTGATAAAAAATCTCATCGTAATTGCATTTAGGTTATTCAGGTAACTGCAACAAAGAAAGGATATTTTCAATTTCATGTGAAAAATTGTTTTTGAATTTCACAAAAGACACATTTTTCTTTTATTTCATTAACAGAGGAAAGATATTTCAAAATTATGATTGCACTAATTGTCATTTTTTGATGTGGTTGCAATAAAAATTGCTTGAGATGAGACCATGGTGTGACTTTTCCAGGGGCCATGTTGGTGGCGATTTGGTCATCAACATTTCTAGCCTACCATAATCAGATGGAGGATCGTGGACTGTTCCAATTTGTCCTACATCCCTGGTCCTTCCATCTATCCTTTAACTCTTCTTGTTGTTGCTATTTGTTGAGAAAACCTTAATGGGTCTTTGTCCCTGGTTGTGGTCTTTCGATTTTAGAACTGACTAGAAATACAAAATGGCCAACAGGGGCCATCTTGGATTTTGAAAATGCAAGTTTGTTATCACTTAATCTGGGCCCTTTTGACTTTAGAAGTAATCAGAAAAGCTTCAATGTTTTATGCATTTTGCTTTAAAATTAAAATACTAAAAGGTGGAACAGGTAAGATATGTAATTACGTGATACATGTATTTAATTCTCGTTGTTTACATTCTTTTCGTAACATGTATTATGTGCGCTACATATATATCATCAGCTGAATTGCAGACTTTGAGAATGAACTGAATTTCATGGTTATGAAAACCTGCATGTTAACTTATATTCTGTTAACTCAGGTGATTGAGTAAGATGATTTTATCTGTATATTACATGTGATGGATAAGAGATTTAACTCTATATAATTGTTAATGACTACAGGATGCCAATGAGTGTTGGACTGAAATTGTCAGGTGCTTACAACAAAAGGTGAAAATGCCTGCAGTTGAGGTAAGATTTCAAACTTTTCTTTCGTGGAATGTGTCAGTCAAATGATTAAAAATCTTATCCTAATCAGTTTCAAAGAAGCAATTATATATGAAATCATACTATGTTATTACAAACACAGGTATCAATTTGGTAGACAATTGATATTCCAACAGGTAAATGAAATTTGCACAATCAGGATGCATATATAATCAGCAGTTCACGATACTGGACATTGAATAGAGTTATGAGGGTTGTACAATGCACTGAATTTAACAAAACGAAATTTTTATTGAAATCTTTACTGCCTATTTACAAGTTTTTGGTCTGAACTGTGAAGATCCAGTCCTGATTTTGTTTTAGAATCTGTTCTTACAGATTTAGGTATAATTGATTTTCGTAAAATGATTATTTAGAGGTTAATGATCAACCAAAGGAATTAAGAAATGCTTGTTCATGTGACATTGAAATATTGCAGTTACTTCCTTTTGCCATACCGTTCTCAGAAGAATGCCTGACTGTATAATTGATGGTCTAAATGACACTAAAGTTAATGGCGGAAATGTCTCCAATTTTTTAACAATAGTGTATCGGGATGTAATGTTCAAGATTATAGGCTTATATTTTGATACTTTCTGATAAGATAACAGTAATTTGGTGTGGTTTTTTTTGTAGCTGAAAATACTTTTCATTTAAAAATCAGTCATACCCTTTCATGATCAGTTGCTGTAAAATTCATTAATCTGTTCACCACAAGAAAGGAGAACCAACCCATACCTTTATTCTGAATGTGATCAGTCACTCCTAACTGTAAAGAGTTCTATTTATAGTCTTTATCCTACAGAAGTGATAATTCTGTGAACCTTCTTCATATAGGTGTTTATCAGAGGGCTTTTATCCTCACTGAACCTAACATATTTTGTGATCGGAATTTGAACTTTGTTCCATTTTGATGTAAAATCACTTTATTGATATTTATATAAAAATTTAAAAGTCTGGAAACCAATGTTTATGGAATATTTTACTTTATATTTTACAGGGAACAGAAGGTGGAGCGACATCTAGTGCCTCGTTTATAGATAAATATATGGGCATCGACTCTGAGGTCACTCTTCAGTGTCAAGAGGCTGAGAATGAACCTCCCACCAAGTCTATAGAGAAACTCTACCAGCTCAGCTGTTTTATAGAGAAAGGTAGGCTAAGTATACTTTCTACCAAGTCTATAGAGAAACTCTACCAGCTCAGCTGTTTTATAGAGAAAGGTAGGCTAAGTATACTTTCTACCAAGTCTATAGAGAAACTCTACCAGCTCAGCTGTTTTATAGAGAAAAGGAGGCAAATTATACCCCCACCAAGTCTATAGAGAAACTCTACCAACTCAGCTGTTTTATAGAGAAAGGTAGGCTAAGTATACTTTCTACCAAGTCTATAGAGAAACTCTACCAGCTCAGCTGTTTTATAGAGAAAGGTGGCAAATTACACCCTCACCAAGTCTATAGAGAAACTCTACCAACTCAGCTGTTTTATAGAGAAAGGTAGGCTAAGTATACTTTCTACCAAGTCTATAGAGAAACTCTACCAGCTCAGCTGTTTTATAGAGAAAGGTGGCAAATTACACCCTCACCAAGTCTATAGAGAAACTCTACCAGCTCAGCTGTTTTATAGAGAAAGGTAGGCTAATTATATCCCCACCAAGTCTATAGAGAAACTCTACCAGCTCAGCTGTTTTATAGAGAAAGGTAGGCTAATTATATCCCCACCAAGTCTATAGAGAAACTCTACCAGCTCAGCTGTTTTATAGAGAAAGGTAGGCTAAGTATACTTTCTACCAAGTCTATAGAGAAACTCTACCAACTCAGCTGTTTTATAGAGAAAGGTAGGCTAAGTATACTTTCTACCAAGTCTATAGAGAAACTCTACCAGCTCAGCTGTTTTATAGAGAAAGGTAGGCTAAGTATACTTTCTGCCAAGTCTATAGAGAAACTCTACCAGCTCAGCTGTTTTATAGAGAAAGGTGGCAAATTATATCCCCACCAAGTCTATAGAGAAACTCTACCAGCTCAGCTGTTTTATAGAGAAAGGTAGGCTAATTATATCCCCACCAAGTCTATAGAGAAACTCTACCAGCTCAGCTGTTTTATAGAGAAAAGGAGGCAAATTACACCCTCACCAAGTCTATGTAGAAAGTCTACCAGCTCAGAGGTTTTATACACAAAGTTAGGCAAATTATACCCTCACCAAGTCTATGTAGAAACTCTACCAGCTCAGCTGTTTTATAGAGAAAAGGAGGCAAATTACACCCTCACCAAGTCTATGTAGAAAGTCTACCAGCTTAGAGGTTTTATACACAAAGTTAGGCAAATTATACCCTCACCTAGTCTATGTAGAAAGTCTACCAGCTTAGAGGTTTTATACACAAAGTTAGGCAAATTATACCCTCACCTAGTCTATAGATAAAAAATAGACAGTTTGGCTTATCATTATTCAGTAGAGAAATTCTTCAATGTCAGCTGCTTGATTGAAATAGATTGACAAATTAAACCCTTTAATACAAAAATGAGATTTGATGTCAGTGATAATTTTCTGTTATCAATTTTTTTTCCAGAGGTGAAATATATGCATAGTGGATTGCGAAATGTGAGTACAAAATGTATTTTATAGAAATAACTTTTTCTTACTGGTTAAAAATTTCTTCAGTTTTAATGATGAAGTCTTTCATATTGATAATAAATGATGATAACTGTTGTAAATTTATCAAGAAATGATAACCGGTTTTTAGTTTAAACAATAATCACCGACACTTGAGAAAGGTTTGACAACTTCTGACATGCACGTTGATAAGATTTTTTGTTATCTTCAAAACTTATGAAATCAATCATGTATATATCTATTTCTAATTGATGCAGATGTTAGAAACTTCATAAAAGTAGAATTAACCTTGCTCTGTCATTCAATAAAGGTGTATGCAATAATGGTATTGTGAATGTTGTGTTGTAGAGATTAGAAGAAAGTATCACGAAGCATTCCCCAGCACTAGAGAGAGATGCACTTTACAAGAAGAGTGTAAGTATCAAGTGAAATTTTATCATCTTGAGAACCAGACTAATTATATCTGACAATTATAATCATGTCTGAGCCATCATTTTAAACCTTAAGGCCGACAAGACTTATATTGTTTTTCTGATGAGTGTTTACATGTAAACATGAAAATAAACATCAGAATCTGGATGTTCTATTCTGATACTTCAGACTCATCATAACATAAGTAAAATAATTGATGTCTAGACCAACAATATTATTGTTGAATGTTCCAAAATAGTGAGGATTAGAAGTCATCAAACATTCATATTTATTTGTTATTTGTGAGGGTAAAAAGTTCTTCTTATTTTTTTTTCAGAGTAAAATAAGCAGGCTACCTGGTTACTTAGCAATTCAATTTGTGAGGTTCTATTATAAAGAGAAAGACAATATTAATGCAAAAATCTTAAAGGTAAGTTCTCAGTGGTACTGTATAAAACATAAAATAAGTTTTCCTTGAGGATAGAATTACCAAGCAATATTGAAATGCATTTTAGTGTAAATCTGAAGTTTTAACCTGCCTGAGATTAAAATTTAATATCCCTTAGCTTTCTACAATGTACACATTTTATGTTGCTATCCAAACAATATTACAAAAAGAAATTATTGAAATTAATTTATGAAGATGTAAGAGTGTTCTGAACGTCTGTGACCATTTACTAGTATGCATTTAGTCATGATTGTAAATCTGAACTTTTTTTAAAGGATGTAAAATTTCCCCTGAGTCTCGACACATACGAACTGTGTACACCAGAATTACAGGAAAGGCTGGCAACAGCCAGAGATAAGTTTAAGGAAAGGGAAGACAGGGATGCAGAGAAGATGCAAAAGGTTTGTTTTGGTTTGATATTGCATAAAGCATGTAACAGTGTTATACTGCCTGTAGAAACTTCAGGTAAGCTTCTGATATCTGTAACAGGTTACAGGTTTTTTGTCTGATGAAGGTGACGGTGTAGTCATCAAAACGTCACACTCCAGTTTTCTACTGGTTGTGTTATAAGATGAAGGTGACGGTGTAGTCATCAAAACGTCACACTCTAACCTTCTACTGGTTATGTTGTAAGATGAAGGTGACCGTGTAGTCATCAGAACGTCACATTAAAATCTTCTACTGGTTGTGTTATAAGATGAAGGTGATTGTGTAGTCATCAAAACGTCACATTCCAATCTTCTGCTGGTTGTGTTATAAGATGAAGGTGACCGTGTAGTCATCACTACGTCACACTCCAATCTTCTGCTGGTTGTGTTATAAGATGAAGTTGACTGTGTAGTCATCGAAAACGTCACACTCTAATCTTCTACTGATTGTGTTATAAGATGAAGGTGGCTGTGTAGTCATCAAAACGTCTTCTACTGGTTGTGTTATAAGATGAAGGTGACTGTGTAGTCAATGAAATGTCACACTCTGATCTTCAGCATGTTTTGTTATAAGAACTTTTTTCTTTAGTAATGAATGTCTCTTGATAATTTGTAAATTTATTTTAAATTATTGTTTTCTCTCAAATGTACAGGCAAAAGAGGCAGGCAAAACACTTCCAGTTAAAAAGAAGGAAACAGAAGAAACAGAACCCTTTGAATTTGAAAACGGTGAGTATTTCTAGACATCCATGAGATATCATTTAAGATTTAAAAATCAAGAAGCTCATACTTTGCTTTTCTCTCATTGTGTTGTTATAATAAATTTTGCTTCTACAAAGTATGAAATATTTTCAGGTAGTGTGTGTTTCCAAATCTTGGATTAAAAAAAATTGTCTTACATGCTTTTGGTAATGTTGTGGTTGTTTGTTTGGTCTAGATCCTGGCTCTAACAACAGTGGCTACTATGAGTTAAATGCTGTTCTTACACACAAGGGCAGGTCCAGTTCTAGTGGTCATTATGTGGCATGGGTCAAGCGGAAAGGAGGTATCAATGCTTTCTAACTCCTTAAAAACAATTGTATTACCCTATAAACAGTAATACTTTCAATAAATGCTTGGTGTTGAAATTTTAGGAAAGAATATTACCTATCATAGTTTTGTTTGTTTTCCCATTCTAAATATGTATGTTTGAATGATATTGTTGAATTATTGAATATATATTGTTTAAATTAAACTATACTGAATTTCAAGTATAAGGAGAAACAGCTTAAGATTGTCATCAACACAAGGATTATCTCCCTTTGCACACTGAATTGATTTGACCAATTATTCTTGTTTGTTTAGATGAGTGGTTCATGTACGATGATGACCATGTGACCCCAGTGACCTCTGAGGATGTGTTGAAGCTCTCTGGAGGCGGTAAGTAATGTAGAAAATTTGACAAAATAAATTATCTTGGACTGACGAATATATCCCCTTTTAATGTTTCTGTATCATATAAGTCTCACATGAGGCAAAGTTTCAGTACTTTTTTCTTAGTTCTATGGTAAGAGTGATGTAAATCTAAAGTGTTTATATTATAAATCTATTATCACTTTGTCATGGGTACAGGATATTTCTGATGAACCCCTAAACAAACTTAGGTAATATTCACAACATGGTGTTGCAATACGTAATTCACTATTGATTGAATTATAGTGGTTAGAGTTCAAGGTCACACATAACACTTGTGAGATGTCATCACTGGTAAACCTATGTACTTTTTATTGAAGAGGGACTGGGACGTATATTTTTGTGGCCCTTTTCTATTTGTATCACCAGGATCTATGTTAGTGACCCTTTTGGGCAGCAGAAATGAAAAATTTGACAAGTTTCATAACTTATATCTGAAATGGAAACAAATTTAAGAGCCTTTTTATCACATGAGGATATTTTTTAAGCAAATATGGTAGAAAACTGATATTTTTACGTCAGACTTGAAGATTTGTCTGTCCTGTATCTATGGTTTTCATTGTTCGATCAAAATGTCATTTGTGAATATGTGACTTCATTTCATTTTGTTATATTGAATTGCAGGTGACTGGCATTGTGCCTATGTTTTACTGTATGGACCACGAGTTCTAGTTAAACAGGATGACAGTGAGGAAACACCAATGGAGTCCTAGTGGATCAGTTTTTAGAAAACAATCATATTGACTTTATTGTGAAGCTATATCAGACTTCCAGTAGTTACCTGTGTAGATGTGCTGATCCTCAGCTGCTTCGGCTCACACACCCCTTTTAGGAGTCATCGCCAGGTTGTGGAAATGACTGACACACAATCCATCTAAATTTCCTGTAAGGAAGTTACTGGCACAGGGGAATCTTTAATTCTTAAGAATCATCAGCTGTTTGGAGAAATTGACTGTTCTGGTAAAAATCTTCAGTTCTTGGATGAACATTATTTCTGGAGAGAGGTTGACTATTCTAGGAAAAGAACAAGTGTACGTGGAATGGCATACAATTATTTCAACTAGTTCCTTGTACAGCTGTTCTGTTAGCCCTATTGTCACCATACATTCATCTTGTCTTAATAAGTGCTATTCTGTATATTGCTATCTAATGTTATTTCTGGATTTTTTCTTGAAAAATAAACCTAAGTATTCTGTTAATCTACAGCAGCTTTTTGTCAAAATGTCTTTTATTTGTCACCAGTGTGTTTCAAAACTTAAATTTTGAATTTTTAAGCAATTAAAATGTCATATTGACAGAAAAAAAGCTAAGGCTTACATCTCTGTATCTGGGGCCTCCTTTGTATAAATATTGTCTTTGCTTTGGGAAAGGATTACAATTTCCCACATGTGTACAATTGATGGACCAGGTTGTAATGTGAAATCATTTGTTAATTACCAATTTGAAAAGAAAACAGTTTACTAGTTTGCTCTTTAACAGATGACACCTGAATGTGATATTCATAAATAAATGTACCTGAAATATTCATTGTTCGAATTATTTTGTTGGACTTTCTCTTCACTTGACGTCACACTTGTGGTAGGAGTGATGTTCAGGTATTACATACATGTGACAGTCCCAGGTTCTAGTATTCCAGGGTTCCACCTGTCAATGTCGACGAAGAACGACAAAAGTTTTGTAGTTATATGATTACATTTAGAAATCTTAAAAAGGAAGAAGAATATAATGGTACAGGACAACACTAGACGTCACGATATTTACACACACTTTCACACATCGTACGTCACAACATTTACACACGCTTTCACACTTAGTACGTCACAATATTTACACACGCTTTCACACATTGTACGTCACAATATTTACACACGCTTTCACACATCGTACGTCATAATATTTACACACGTTTTCACACATTGTACGACACAATATTTACACACGCTTTCACACATCGTACGTCACAATATTTACACACGCTTTCACACATCGTACGTCACAATATTTACACACGCTTTCACACATTGTAGGTCACAATATTTACACACGCTTTCACACATTGTATGTCACGATATTTACACATGCTTTCACACGTACGACACAATATTTACACACGCTTTCACACGTTGTACGACACAATATTTACACACTCTTTCACACATTGTATGTCACGATATTTACACATGCTTTCACACGTACGACACAATATTTACACACGCTTTCACACATTGTACGTCACAATATTTACACACTCTTTCACACATTATACGACACAATATTTACACACTCTTTCGCACATTGTACGTCACAACATTTACACAAGCTTTCACACATTGTTTCCAGGTTCTTATACAAGTTGTTCATCTACAACAAGCCTACATTGGTGTCCAGAGTAGGGATGTCAAGCAGACAAAATAGCTCCTGGAGTGTTATTATACACCAGCCAAAAGACAACAGCCTGAATATGTAAACTGTGGCCACTAGGACCAGGAAAATCCACGCTAACAAGTCTGTTGTTGTTTTGTGCGACAACCACTCCATTGATTAATTTTACTTCCCTTTTACGGCCTTTAAGCGGATGACCAGGGGCATTCACTGGGTTTAATACCTGAGTACGAATATAGAAGGAGGCGGACAGCCAATTAGTGATGTCTCGATTCTGACAGGCTAGTGGAAAGTCTAGTATAGATCTTCAGCTGTAAACATGGCCACAGATTAGCTAGGAGTTGTTCACTCCATACATTATTACTGTCAGTTATTGTAATGAAACATATACAATAAACATTCAACCATACTTCCATTATCTTACAAACGACTGATCAGAATGCACTTTCGTTGACTCAGATCACTGCACCCAGTTACTCCACACACTTGTTACTAGTTAGCTGATACCATAACAGTGACAAGGAGCTACTTAACTGCCTGTGACTCTGGGCTTGATAGCAGATATTAAATATGTGACAAGGGACTATTTCGTTAATATCACGACTTTGACTGGGGGCTTTGATAGCAAATATTACATATGTGACAAGGCACTATTTAGTTAATATCATGACTGTGACTGGAGGCTTGATAGCAGATATTAGGTATGTGACAAGGGACTAGTTAGTTAATATCATGACTGTGACTGGAGGCTTTGATAGCAGATATTACATATGTGACAAGGGACTAGTTGGTTAATATCACGACTGTGACTGGGGGCTTTGATAGCAGATATTACATATGTGACAAGGTGACTGGGGGCTTTGATAGTAGATATTACATATGTGGCAAGGGACTAGTTAGTTAATATCATGACTGTGACTGGGGGCTTTGATAGCAGATATCACGTATGTGACAAGGGACTAATTACTAATACCACGACTGTGACTGGGGGTTTGATAGCAGATATTACGTATGTGACAAGATATTTGTTAGTTAATATCATGACTGTGACTGGGGGCTTTGATAGCAGACATTACGTATGTGACAAGATATTTGTTAGTTAATATCATGACTGTGACTGGGGGCTTTGATAGCAGACATTACGTATGTGACAAGGGACTAATTACTAATACAACGACTGTGACCGGGGGTTTGATAGCAGATATTACGTATGTGACAAGATATTTGTTAGTTATGTGACAAGATATTTGTTAGTTAATATCATGACTGTGACTGGAGGCTTTGATAGCAGATATTACATATGTGACAAGGGACTAATTACTAATACCACGACTGTGACCGGGGGTTTGATAGCAGATATTACGTATGTGACAAGATATTGGTTAGTTAATATCATGACTGTGACTGGGGGCTTTGATAGCAGACATTACGTATGTGACCAGGGATTTGTTAGTTATGATATCAAGCCCCCAGTCACAGTCATGATATAAACTGTCTAGGGACTATGTAGTTGATCCCACGCCGATAACTATAGACTTGTTAGCTGACACCACGTCTGTGACTAGAGGCTAGTTTGTTGAGTAAGGCAAACGGGTCCTCGTTTGGCCTTTTTACGTAATCTTGTCGGATTCTGTCTGAGCACTTGGGCACACTGACCTAGTTACGTGCATAAGGATTCACATCCGTATTTAGAAACAATTAGCAATGAGCTGACGATGACCGGAGGTAATACAGATAGGAACACTGTTTAGCACCCCAGATTAGTGTAACAGGCAATTATTAACCTGCTGTATCTCTCAAACTACGTGAAAATCAAACTTAAAAGCGTCAAACGGACAAACGTTTGCCAAAGATCGTGGTAAACGATGTACCATATACCAACAACCTATCGAAGTTCACACAGTCAACATGTACCGAAGTTAGACGTATTAACATACAGTGTTTTAAAAAAAACCCAGAAAAATACTACAATATTTACATATATGAGATGCCATATTTGCATACAGACTTATGTATTTCTTATTTGAATTGTTAATGGAGGCCTTGTATCGGAATCAACGAGTCCAGGTTCTTGTTTGTTTTCATTCTAAATGTTAAGCGTTTCATTACTTTCAGAACGACAAATCAATGTAACCCACTCTGATCGAGAAGCAAAAGCAACATTCTCATTTCACACACTCGCTGGCAGGAATCCATTAGTGTCATAGAATTTACATTCTAATTAAATTGAAGGATTTCTCGATGTTTTGAATTCTTCATTAAACAGCTCTTCTTGCTTGACATTCGGAACAATGTGTAGATCGCCAGCAGCTACGCGTTCAGCAGGACCATGGAATAAGAACACGCTGATAGAGAGGTTAGTTTCAGGTTATCTAATTTAAGCTTCTGCAGCGTTTGCATGTAATAGAAAAGCTTGAAAGCAATCGCATAAGACTAATTGGGAAAAATTTGTTCGCTTCGACAGACTTCTGGTGCAGAATATTTCTAATATTTATACATGTGTCGACTAGGCCTACTCCCTTGTTTACAAACTCGGCTTTCATGAATAGTCGATTTGTTGGAGTACTGTCGCAATCTTACGGACGGTCGTTAGAAACACCGACATGTTAGAATCTTAATTCATACTAAACTTCGATGAAACTGTGCATAAGATTTAAGCTCGACGACCTCCAACCTGTAAACTCGATTATTCCAAGTTAGTAATGTCACGTTCCCAAATAAGAACCAGGGAAACAATAACGACACCATCAGGCACACGGACGGGCACCAGGGACACACAACTTCATATCGCTTAAAGAAACAGAGTAATTTTCAATAACATAATTATTATGAACGTAAAATTTCCCTCAATCATCATCAACCTGCATTTCTCGAAATCATGTATCGCAATTGACGACATATTACACGAAAATCGTGATATATATATAACAAGCCATTGGTTAGCGAAGTAATTGCGACAAATAAATAACAGAGGTTTAATGCAGGTATCTTGTTATCCTAAAAAGGAAAATTCACAGTAGGGGAATTTAAATCATCACGCTTATTTCTCAGCATGATGGAAGGCTGTCCTTGTTGATTTCGTTGTAGGAAAATATCGGTTTAAGCGACCGATATGAATAAGAGTCCTTCGTGCCCACGATTTCCAATTTTTAGTGGGGATAAACTATGGACATGGCTAATAAATCTGTTGTTATTTAAGACAGAGCGAAATTGGAGGGATTTGCAATTAATTCCTCTTCTTAAGTAAACGGTATCACAATAAGACTTTAACCATGATTTGATTACATTACTTAAAATGGTAGTAAGATGCTTTTTATTTCGATTTTTGTGAGGATTGGAAATCCAATATGAACGTGGGAGGTCCGTATCCTTATAATTATCACCTAGACGTCCAGGGTTCGATTCCCCAAACGGACGTTAAAGGATATGGGTTCACTTACGCGACCACTTGGATTTTCCCTCGGGTATTGCGGTTTCCTAACCTTCGCGCACTTCCCTTCCATACGACCAGCAAGAGTGATCAATATAAGCTTATTTTTTGTTTCCCAGTTGTTAAAAAAGAATAACGTATGTATTCATTTTTAAGTCAGCATTTCTTCTTTTGAAAGATTGGATAATGTGTAGATTGGGTTTCCTTCGTTATCGAGCAAGTCTAGTTCTTTTGATATGTTGAGCAGGAAATTCTATTTCCACAGAGACAAGGATTAGGCTTTTTGATGTCATATCTGCAGGCATTCTTTTGAAAATCGTGATTTGTGGATTTAACACCGGGTTTTTATTTTAGATTTCAAACTGCTAATTATTTCAAGAATAATAGAGCGCATGAATTTAATCCGCTCTGAAATTGAATCCGAAGCAACACGCCATTGTTTCAACCACCCTCTAGCATAATTTTTTAATACCCAAGTGCGTGTATCCTGAAAGTCACACTCCTATTTCACGATATTTTGAGGAGAGAGATAGAAAATTCAATATACTTTTAGTTCGAATATGAAGAGCCCCTATTGTTGCCACAAGGTCTTCAAACTATCTGAATGATGATATTAAATCGGTTAGATTATTGGTACACGGCTCAGCCAAACGATTTGTATGCTGCAGGATCGAGAAATCGACAGCACATAATATTTTCGTGCTGTTTGTT